TGACGTTTTATATTTATATTGCTTATTTGGACTTTCACTTCTTAATACTTTTCTTCTATGACGACATGGACGTGAATTATGTTCATTCAAATGTTCTTCTGTTCTAAACATTCTTCCACATAATGCACAAGTAAGATGCTTTGACAGAAACTCTTCATGGTTGTTTAAGTGACGACCAACACTGAATTTACTAGGGAATGTTTTTCCACAAATATCGCATTGATATGGTTTAATGTTTAAATGCACACTGTCAAGATGTTGTTTAAGTGAATCTTTGTTAATGATTTTTCCACAGAATTTACAAGGCAAACGACATTTCAATTCTTTATGCATTTTCATGTGATGAACAAGGTTGGATTTTGTAGTGAATGTGTTTCGACAAATTTCGCACCGATATGGTTTAATGTTTAAATGGACACCATCAAGATGTTGCTTAAGTGAATCTTTGTTAATGATTTTTCCACAGACTTTACAAGGCAAACGACAATTCAATTCTTCATGCATTTTCATGTGACGAACAAGGTTGGACTTATTAGAAAATGTTTTTCGACAAATTTCGCACTGATTTGGTTTAATGTTTAAATGAACTCTATTCAGGTGTTTTGTTCTGTGTTCTAAACCGATATGTGTAGTCACGTGATGAGCAAGATGTTCTTTGGAGCATTTCCTTCCACAAATATCACACTGATATGGCTTAATATTGAAATGCACAACATTAAGATGTTGTTGGAGTGCATTCTTTCGAAACATTTTTCCACAAACCTCACAAGGTAAACGATGAGGAAGCAACTTATGGTTTTTCAAGCCTTTTTCTGTCCTAAACGTTCTTCCACATAATGAACAAGTAAGATGCTTGGGTCCTTCGTGATGATTCAATAAATGAAATTCAATGTCTCTTTTATTCAGGTAAGAAGTTCCACAAATTTGACAACGGAAATCTCTTGTTCTAAATTCTTTATGTGTGTTCATATGATTAACAATGATGGGCCTATCTTTGAATGCTTTTCCACAAATATCGCACTGATATGGTTTAAGGTTCAAATGAACTTTATTCAGGTGTTGTTTGAGTGTATAATATCTTAGAATTTTTCCACAAACCTCACAAGGTAGACGACATGGACGCCGCTTATGTTTATTCAAGTGTTCTTCTGTTCTAAACATTCTTCCACATAATGCACAAGTAAGATGCTTTGACAGAAACTCTTCATGGTTGTTTAAGTGACGACCAACACTGAATTTACTAGGGAATGTTTTTCCACAAATATCGCATTGATATGGTTTAATGTTTAAATGCACACTGTCAAGATGTTGTTTAAGTGAATCTTTGTTAATGATTTTTCCACAGAATTTACAAGGCAAACGACATTTCAATTCTTTATGCATTTTCATGTGATGAACAAGGTTGGATTTTGTAGTGAATGTGTTTCGACAAATTTCGCACCGATATGGTTTAATGTTTAAATGGACACCATCAAGATGTTGCTTAAGTGAATCTTTGTTAATGATTTTTCCACAGACTTTACAAGGCAAACGACATTTCCCTTCTTTATGCGTTTGCATGTGACGAAC